TCCCTCTGGCCCTTACAGGATGTTTTCTTTAAAGCCTAAGAGAATATTTTTAAAACTAAAGTCAGGAAGAATAACACGCTGCTGTATTAAAAACTCTTCCTCCTCAAACAAACTCATTTGCCAGGAGGATCTTTGGCATCTAAGACCAGAGTTTGCCTTAACTGTCTCTCTTCTCTGAGGATCCATTTTCCATTATCGAGCCTTAGCAATTGCTCAGGCATTTCATCCACCTGCTCCCCCAGACAACCAATGAGAGACTTACTGTCACCATAAATTAGCTTGCATTATTTAGTGCTTCTTATAAATGGAAATCATCTGGTATATACTCTTCTTTTTTTGGTCTTCTCTCACTCAGCATACTTGTGAAATTCATCCACGCTGTTGCATGTATTAATAGCTTACTTCTTTTATTGCTGAGTAGTATTCCAGTCTACTGGATATACCATAGTTTATCCATTCATCTGTTGATTGATATTTGGGTTGTTTATAGCTTTTTGCTATTGCCAGTAAAGCTGTTATGAACATTTGTGAGTGATCCTTTGCATAGACATATGCTTTCATTGCACATTCTAGATACGAATCTTTTGTCAGACATATGTTTGGCAAATATTTTCTCCCAGTGTGGCTTTTTTCATTTTCATAGCAGTGTCTTTGGAAGGTCAAAGTTTTTAATTTTGATGAAATCCAACTTGTTGAGTTTTTTTTTTTTTTTTTTGGCATTTATAATTCGTGTTTTTATGTTCTATTTGAGACATCTTTGTCAAATCCAAGATTGCTACTCCTGTTTTCTTCCAAAAGTTTTATAGTCTTGGCTCTTATATTTAGGTATATGATCCATTTCAAGTTATTTTTTGTATAGTATGTTACACATCACTAAAATTTAAATATATAAAGGGTTTGTAGAATCATAAAAATACTCATTTATAAATATTAACTGAGAAGAGGCCAATATAAACTTTTAGACATCATCGATAATCAAGTTTTTGACAAAAAATAAACCAATAAACAAAACCTATGACTAGAAGAATGGAAGAAAATATTCTGGAATGTTTCAATTCCTGTTTTTAGATTATATGACCACTGCCTATTTCTTGTTTCTTTTTACTTTTCTATATTGTCAGTGTTTTCTATAAAAAGTAACAAGTACCATTATAAAAAATACAATATATTTTAAAAGTCACTTAAGAGAAGGCTTCCTGATTCCATGCTGCCTTCACACTGCTCTTTAGTGTATAAATGACCTGTGTGGAGAACCAGAAAGGCAAATACACTACCAAGAATTCTCCTTTTCCCAAGCTTAACGGCCAGAAGAGATGAAACAAAGAATTTCCAAAGAAAATTCTCCAAAAAGTATGTTAGTTTAGCTGAAGCCTCTAAAAGAAACCAAATACAAACTCACATCCCAAAACTACCCTAATAAAGGAAAAGAATTCCAGCAGGGGGAGGGCTGGTTGCCCCGCTTGGACCCCTACCAAAATTACTTGCCCTGAACTCTACAGTCACAGATGTGTACATCGAACCGCTGGCTTCTCCACTCAACCTGCACAAGCAAAGAAAGCTAATGAAATTCTCTCGTTGATGTGCTCACTGTCCTCTCTCAGTCTGCTTGCAAAGACAGCCTAAATCTGCAGCCTCATAATCAGCCCAAGGCTGGCCCAGCCGCCCCTCCATGTGTGTACCCTCCTGCCTGCCTGACAGGCAGGTTTTGCCTCTCGAGCTGCTGCAGAGGCCAGACTGGCTCATGGAATTGCCTACAGATGTTTCACAGAGAGACAGATTACTTCCCTGACTGATGAATATGTGGAGTTGTCAACATGGTCTCCTTGGTCAGAGGGGACCCCTGAAGTATAATGTAGAAGAACAGATGTTTCATCTGGGAAGGTGTCCAAGACCCTAAGAAGAGGATGCACTTGGCTGATATGGTGAGCTGAGTAATTCAGACTCTGAGAGGGAGGGGAGGGAGGCTGGACCCCCAACTGCAGCCAACGCCATCGCAGGGCCTCCCCAGTCCAGGCTGCCTCCAAAATCCTAAGAAGGGAGTGGCATACTTCATCAATCAGCCTCTTCTTTGGACTTGCTTTTCCAATGAACCAAGGGACACTGTTATCAGAAATGCAGTCATCTTCTTGGTCCTTACCTGCTGTGAGTCACAAAGCAAGTGGGCAGCAAAAATGACACTGTGACTTTCACACTAAACCTTGCAGGCTTCCCCAGGCAGGAGCTGCAAGGGCAGACTGGGAGGGGGCCAGGGCACCTGGAGCGAGCTCTTTTCTTTCAGGAGCATGCAACTTTGGGGCTTCCTGGCTGACCTTCCAAAACGAATCAGACAATAAGAACAATTACCTGCTTTAGTAATTAGAAAAGAGCTGTCATTTTATGGTGCTAGACTATGTACTTTATACACCTTTATCTAATTGAACTCTCACACAAACATACACACAAAATACCCTATGCGAGGATTTGTAAAATTTACTACCCATAAACCCTCTCTGTAAGAATAACTAGAGAATGTATCCCAGCAAATAGCAGAGGCAATAGAAAAACCCATTTTACAGATGAGGAAGCACAGATTTGGAAAGTAATTTGCCAAGGTCACATAACCTTGGAATGGAGCTCAGATTGGTCTCATTTCCAAATCCATGCTTTGAGACACTGCAATTTTGTGGTCACCAGGAGATGAGGATTACACTTTCAACACAAGCAAAAAGGTGTTGGTGCTTCCAACACAGAAACATGGCATGCCCAGAAAAACACCATTTACATCTGGATTGGCCTGAATACCAATGAGTTTGCTGCCTCCGTCTCAAAAAGATTTGAGCTTAAAACTAAAAATCTCTTATCTGGCACTTCCAGAAAGGGCTGTATTCTAGGAGGAAACAGACAATGGACTCTCTGCATTACACACACACACACACAAAACCAGATGGCTAAACAACCTAGAGCTCTATTCCAAAGGGTATTCAGGTATGTGCAGCAAAAGAGGCCCTAGCCTCGCTCCTCCAGAGAAGGAAGAAATCAAGGGTGGCAAGAGAATCTAGGATAGTTTTCTCAGAATATCTATGCTTTAAAAAGAATTTGTAGTATAAAAAAATTATTTTTTACATTCCGCTCTGCAATGAACTTGCTTTTCCTTGAGGCTGGGAATAGGGTCTCTTGTTTATCTCTCTAGCCTTGGTGCCTGACATAAACCTGGCACACAGTGGTACTCAATGCCCTTTTATTGAATGACAATGAATAAATGGATAGACAAGGACAGGTCAAACGAAGAGGCCAACACATGGTAAACTTTGGATCTAGATGGTCCTGGATATGAATCATGGCTGCCATTTTCTAGATATACAAGCAAATTACTAATACCTCTTTGCCTCAGTTCTCTCATCTTTAGAGTGGAGACAAAAAATAAATACCAATTTGACAAAATGGCTGGAAAAATTCAAGGATGCAAGTGCTGAGCCCAATGCCTGGAAGAGTTTTGGGGGGTGAGATCTGTCTTTACTTCCAGGGGGAGCACTCTTGTCTGGGAAAGAGAAAAGTAGATTATAATAATTCACATCTCAGTCTTACAGAGACAAAGGCCGACTATTTTTAGTTGAGCACGGAGGCTAGGACTGTTGTTGCAGGTAGCATGTTTGTAGAGGCAGAGGGGCGGGGATTCCGCTCAAAGGGAATCACTTAGGAACCACAGCGGTCCCCGACCTTTTTGGCACCTGGGACCAGTGCTCCTATGAGAATCTAATGCCTGAGGATCTGAGGTGGAGCTGAGGCAGTGATGCTCGCTCTGGGGAGCGGCTGCAAATACAGATAAAGCTTCACTCACTCACCCGCTGCTCACCTCCTGCTGTGCAGCTGGGCTCCTAACAGGCCACAGACTGGTACGGGTTCACGGCCCAGGGGTTGGGGACGCTTGACTTAAGAGACTGAGGATAATTAAAACATATCCCAAGAGAAGCAGCCAAAGGGGCCAGCATTGCTGAGTCTTTAAGAACTAAGGAATGGGACAGGATGGGACAGGACGCATTCTGCAGGGTTCCAGGGCCGAACTGCTACTAAGGAGCAAAAGTTACAGGGAGGCAGATCTCAGTGGGAATCGAGTTTCAGAAAGGCTGCTTTCTTTGCCTAGGATGATGCAGGTGAATGTAAGAGCAAGTTGCCGAATCCAGAACCAGGTATCACCAGGTGTCACAACTCCAATGCCCACTGCTCCACCTCCCCACTGTCCAGGCAGTACAAGGAGAGAGATAGAAAAGGCACCTTTCCCCCACCTCTACCTCATCCAATCCCATTCTTAAAGAAAGTCCACTTTTTGTGTTTCTGTGTCTGCTTTCTTGCTTTGAATATTTTTGCAGGACTGAAGGCAGAAGCGGCCTGAAATCCAGGCTCATTCTGTCATTTGCAGACTCCTAATGATAATGCTGGGCGTGGGTGGGGGGTAAGAGGCAAAGGCTCTAAGGACCCTCAAGAAGTGTGGGGAGACCAGGTGCTTCCTCCTGAGGAAAGAGCAAGATAGGTTCCCAGGAGGAATGCTGGTGTGGTGGTCTGGAGGTACCAGGATCCCAAACCAGGGCCCCTGGCCTGACAGAGATGCCCATGTCCTACATGGTCATGGAAGCAGACAGTCCTCAGGCCTCAAGGGACCTCGAAGGATGTTCACAGTGAGGACTTCGGTAGCAACCAGGAGACTGAAGGTTCACCGCTGTTTTCTTAGCCAGAAACTTCCTGGATCCTAGGGTCACCCCAGGAGGAGGAACAGTGCCAACAATGACTAAGAAAGGATTTTCTGTTCCTCTGCTCAGGGTCAAATAAAGTTGATTTAAAGGAAATAAAGATATTGACGTTCTTTATAAATCTGGGTTTGAACAGCATGGCAGGAATGGAGGCATCAAGTACCATTAAAAAATGGCGACATAAACATCTGCCCTCCCTCTGCCTGCTGTCCCACTCAGATGTGGGGTACTCTCAGATTTACCAGCTGGAGAACACCTCCCAGCCTCCCGCCTTACCTGGGAAGCAGGTGCTTGCGGCTGACACACAGAGCAGTCTGGTAGTCCTGGGTCACACACACCTTGTGAGGGCTGCACTTTACTTTCAGGCAGGGGTCTTTGGATGGGTCCAGGGCTGAGGCAAAAAGAACAAGAAGAGGGTGGTTAGGGTCACCAGGAAAAAATTAATTTCTATTTCTACTCAAATAGACAAGTGGGAAGTAAACAGACCATGTGTTTGCACTCTGCTTTGTTTTCTTAGGCTGGTGGAGATTGCTGTGAAAACCCAAACCAGGGGAATTCTGTGTCTACTGACCATGTTTTTCTTCAGCATCAGGATAGTGATCCCTTTGTGCCATGGGGAGTTTCAGTACCTTCGTCTTCAGTGGGAATTACTTTTAAAATCCTTTAGAATCTTCTATGCTCCAAGGACCAAGAGCTACTTTTCTCCCTTTGGTTATTTGTCTGCTATTGCTTTTTATGACTTCATCTGTGCCTAGTTTTACTTACTTCTTATAATATAAAAAGTCCTTGAGGACAGGGTTTCTTTGGCTTTAGTTCAATCTACACAGACAATGTGCATAAATAAGCCTATTTTAAGTTTTGCGAAGAACTTCAGGATGTGCAAGATAGTTTTGTGCCACACACAGTTACAATACAATACGGAAGGGGAAAAAAGCCTACCCATAAATATTTATTGTGCTAGGGAGAATCAGATAAGGGTCATGACGGGCATATAAAGTGATAACAGAGCTAGAGAAAAAAATAGAAATCAATTTCTGGGGCAAGGATTAATGAAGCATTAATGTGTGAATTGGATCTTGAAGGATGGGCAGAATTTTGAAAAAGCAAAGAGAGAAAAAGCACCCCGGCTGGGCGGCAAGCACACTCCAATGAAGGGAGGCAAGTCTGGGCCTCACGAGATATTCCATCTGACTAGGAAATGTGCTCTTTGCATGCGAATAATGAGAGGGGGGAAAGTTGATTCAACCAAGTCACTCGAGAAAGGGTCTCCAAGGGCGGCAGTAAATATATTGCAACATTTCCTAGAGCAGACAGAGCGGCAGGCCCTGGGCTCATCAGTGTTCCACATGCTTAGGCGGCCAAGCTCATCACGCACAGAAGGGGCCACAGGGGATTCTCTGCAAAACAAAAGCAATGGAGCCACCTCTCTGCCCTGCGGCCCGAAGCCTTTTAGGTGGTGGATCTTTCATAACTGCTCGCCACAGCCAGGGAGGTGATGTTTTCCCATGTCCTCCCCATGCAAACATTTGGTTAAACAAATCGGCATCCAGAGCAGGGACAGCAAAACTGCTATGAGATGTACCATCGTCCCCTCCACCACTGGGGCCCTCATCCCTCATGACTCCCTGCTCTTAGAGGAAGTTATCACTTTTTCAGCCCCAGGCCCAGAATCTCAGCCTCATTTTCTTCAGACAGCTGCCGGGACTGTCTCAAGGGACCTGAACACGACCATCCAAAGGCATTTCTGTTGCTTAAAGAGCTCAGGGCGGCTTCCTCCACTGCAGCCGCTTTGGCCACTATAAATCTGCATTCTCAGGCCAGTCAGGTCAACAGTAAGACTGGGGTCCTGGTTGGTGCCCCAGGGGAGTCACCTGGCAGAGACTACTTCCCAGGGGATGTACCTGGCTGCTACAGCTTAGCAAAAGGAAATGGCTGCAAGACAAGAGAGGCTGATTCAAGCCATAGAGAGAATATTCACTCAGAGTTCCTTAGCTGAGGGCTTCCTCTTGTAGGAAGATGCAGGGGGCCTCTGCCTGCCCACAGAGTCCTCTGAGGCTGGACCTCCAGGTAACTTGTGCCAGGAACTTCTTGGTCCCAGATGGAACTCTCTTGGTCCTGGGGACACCCACAGGAGAAGCCAGGAGGCTGGTGCATCTCAGGCCAGTGATCTCCTTGTGCACTGTCCTCCACTCCAACCCAGGTAGCAGTCCAACCAACTTTGATTTGCTTTCCAAGACTCATCCAAAAGTGAGTCCACAATGAAGACTGATGACCAGATGACCGCTAATGATGACTGTGCCAGTCCTTCACTGCCCCTTCTCACACTTTTCAGCCGCCACAGGATGAAGTAAGACATATACAGATCTCAAGAAACTTGGGACCCAACAACTGGCTTCCTTAGCCACAGTTACCAGCTGAGAGGCATTGCCCTGATAGGTGCTAAGGGCCACAGAATCCCTGGAATTTTCACTGAAGTGGAGCTCAGACATGGAGACCAACAGGCTGGTCTAGAGTTATGGGTGTCAAAATTTGTGGTACTACATGATAAGCTTCATGGCCATATTTGAGCTTCTTTTTGCTTCTGCAGTCAACTTTACAAACAAGCAAAGTACACACCGCAACCGGAACGGCCTCCATGGTCAGTGCAATTTCAAGGCAAATAAGTCAGCCAAGCATGGTTGGAAGAACACAGGCTCTCAGCTGAGTGTTTCTGAGTTTAAAGTCTGGCTTCACTGCTTACCAACCTTTCTGCACTTCAATTGCCTCTTCTGTTAAATGGGGTAATATGAGTATCCACTATGGCTTTTGGCTGTCATGAGGATTAAATGAGCTAATATTTGTAAGTGCTTAGAAAAGACCTCTTAGGTGTTTGTTAGTTTTTGTGTGTCTGTATTTTATTCCCAAAGTGACTAACAAGGCTCCATAATAACAAGAACAATGATAATACTTAACCAGGGCTTCCAACATGTAGGCAGTGAACTAAGCTCTCTAACTAGGTTACTGGATTCTCATAGCCACCCAAGGAGGTAGCTGCTGGTCACACACCCATCCTACAAAGGTCTTAAGTCTGCTGGTGAGAGGGGCAGAGGGTATCTGACACCCGGTGGGTTGACTCCAGAACCTAAACTCCTTACCACCAAAAGCCAGCAGCATGAGAATCACCTAGGATCTCCTTTAAAAAGTTGATTGCGGGCCCCATCTCACTCCAAGTATAGAGCCTTCTGTGCAGAATGAATCTTAAGGGGTAAAGGAAGGGGCAGCCAGAGGGCCTGGTGTTGCCTCGGTGGGGCCATCCAGGACTGCCCCAATGTTCCACAAACGGCAGTCTCAGTGTTCCCCCAGAAATGGGGTACCCAGCCTTGGGCAAGTGCACCCTCTGCGTACTGTCTGAGAATACAGCAATTCCCTTAACTGAGTCAACTGACCAGAGATCTGGTCAATTTTCTTTCTGCAACTTTGCCATCTGTCACCCTACCATTCGGCGAATATTATAGATCACCCCTCCTCCATGCCTGAAGCTGACATGTCTAAAACAAACAAAAAACTCCAACCCGAAACACTAATAAATAAAAATCATCAGTTATTTAACTCTATACACATACTTCCTTAACAATTTGCATGTAGAAATCAAGTCGGCTAAAAATTAATTACTAGGGACTGAATACTTCAAACATGTATGCGAATTATTTAAATGAACTTCACAGAACCACAAAACAGTAACAAATTAAGCTGTCGGCGTTTATTTGAACACCAGGACGCATCTTGTTTTTGAAAAACAGCAACATTGGAATTAAAAGGGGATGTAGAGGGTAAAAGGAGTGTGTCATTTCCATTTAAATGTGGCCTCTGAAATACACTTTTCCTAGCAGCTCCAAGACTCATGGTGACACTGGTGAAAGGCACCCAGCACCTGTTTTGAACAGGGCTGTTTGGCTCCACTTTCTAAAGGGAATGATAAAACATCTGAATAATAAGTGGCATTTGAAAAGCTTTTTAATAAGGTACAGGAAAACTGTACAGGTGAGGAGGAAAAGAGAGAGAGAAAGGCTGAGTGTTAGCGAGAACCCCTACCAGGGTAGAAGCTTCCTTGTCAAGGTGCTAATGATTTCTGGAGACTGTGCTCCAAGTTGTTCTCTCCAAGCACATGCTCGGTGATGGAATATAGCAATCCCCATAAGACAGCCAAGTCCTGTGTCTCCTCTACCTCTTCTGTCTTAATACAGGCGGGACTTGGGTGGACTCACACAGGATAATGTGCCTAGCACAGAGCAGATACCCACAGGAGGTTAATTTCATATTCCCTGCCCGTGCCCAAAAACAAGTCAAGTGTCAACTGGCACGTGATATATTTCCAATTAATTTTTAAATAATTTTTGCAAAAACTCTTTTCAAAAAATGAATTGATTTGAAAAGAAATTTGTTGAACTGAAAAACAATGAATTCAAAAGCTTAATTATAGGTTACGTAAGTTTTTTAAATTGTATTTTTTAAGCTCACTGCTTGATCTCAATTAAGGTAGTGATATTTTAATTATCTTAATTGTTTCTGAACTTATTTTCGGTTTGAGTTATTTTTTAATTAGCTACATTGATTTTTAAAATCCTGAATCAAGCCTTTTCGCTGTCCTTGGGCACATCTTATGGGCTCACAGGCAAAGGGTCCTAACAGCTATATCAGCAGAGGAGGGTACCACTTCAAAGATGCTGATAAGCGGAGGATCCATTTTGTGGCTTGCCCAAAAAGTCCCCGAGAGTCACCTGGGGAAGTGACACATGCTTGTGTTTATCCATTAATACTTGCAGAGGATCCTCTCTTTGCAAGCCCGTTTTTGCAAGCTGGAGGCCAGTGCCTCTAGATTGAGCAAAAAGTCGTGCCTGCCCTCTGGGAAGTCACAGCTCAGTAGAGGAGACAGACAATGCACCAGGAGGGTAAGTTCTGCATGTAACGAGAGATGGGAGGCATCTCGCCCAGCCTTTCAGGGGCTCAGATGAGACTTCCTAGAGAGATTGACATCTACGGAAAAGTGGGTTTAACCCACATAACAGGATAAGGAAGAACATTCTAGATAAAAAGAAACTCCCTTTTCAGAAGAGAAATTACAGCAAGTTTGGGGAACCACGGCATTTCATCAGGCTGGAGCAGGGGTGGTGTGTGAGGACACCGGAACCTGTGGCAGCATCATCATGGAGGGCCTTAGAAACCAGTGAGGCCTCCCAAGTTCCAAAGCGATGACAAACATGGTAGAACCTCGTGGTCTTGGCACACCCTCTCATGCTGAAATTGGTGGAAGTGGGTAGCAAGAGAGAACCCTTTACACACATTTTATGTGGAAAGCGGCACTTTGATAAAAATAGATGTGCTACACACCCTCAGTCTCCAAGTGAAAGAAGG